GGCGGCTCCGCCCACACTGCCTTAAAGGGACCGCGACCGGGACCGGGACCGCCACCTCCTCACCTCATCCCACAAGGAGCCGGAGCTCGAGGTCCAGCTGGAACTGCTCCTTCCTGCTGGCCCAAGGTGGGACCCAAGGGGTGGGTCAGTCACCTCGATGACCTGGACATTGCCACCACACCTGGCCAGCTCTGCCTTCCCACAGCTCTTCCAGCTCCACTGGCAAGCAGAGGGTTGAAGTAAGGACACTCCAGGTGTGGCTCATCTCTGCACAGATCAATCCGGTTTGTCCCTGGGCAGAGTGGAGCTTCCAGCAGATCTAACCTACAGGGAACCTGGGAGAGCTGGTTGTGTGCAGAAGGGATCGAAACCCTTTTGTCCCAGAAGAGCTCAAAGGCAATGGAGCAGCAGTGACATTGGGTCTCCTCCATCCTGCGTCCTTGCAGCTCTGTGGTGGCGTGTTGTGCCAATTCCATGGTCTTTCACACAGCCCAAAGCTCACCAAGGGAGTCAAAGTGGTCATGGAAGTGACATCGGCAGGAACACAATGTGACTTGAGCAGCTCATGGATGTGAACTCATGGAGTCCGAAGCAGAGCCAGGGGGATCCCAGCCCAGAGGATTTGCAGAGCAGAACTGGTTCAACCTAAGCAAACCACGAAACACTCTGAACTGATCCAAGTCCTCCCCAGAGCAACAGTGACCTCCACACCATGGACACATCCCAACACATCCAAATTTCACACTGTGCTGAGCAATGGCCCCTCCACCCCTGCAGAGTCTAGCCTTGCATCAGCGCACTGTGAGGAGCTGAGCCTCGTTAGCAGTGATTAATACCAGCAGAGGCCTAATGAGCACAGACACAGCCCCTGGAGGAGGTTCCATGGGCAGGACTTGGGGCTGCCTTGAGCCAAGGGCCAAGTTCCACCTCAGCCAATTCCATTCCCAAGGATGTAACTCCACATTTCAGAGCAAACCCCTGGGGTGATATTCCAGAAGATCCAGAGCAAAGTCATGGATCCTCATTCATGCCAAAGACACTGACAAATCCATCAATTACCTGTTTTCTCCCCAGTGCCCTGAAGCCTCTAGGTCAGGTGAAGAGCAGCACTCAATGTCATTGCCACCAACACCACAGGGATAGGTAAACAGGTTTAGGAGCCCTTCACCAGGATGTATCCAACCCAGGCTGGTGCCCTTCACTGGGATGGGTCCAACTCAGGCTGATGCCCTTCACCAGGATGGATTCAATCCAGGTTGGGAGCCCTTCACCAGGTCAGGCCAGGTCAGATCCAATCCAGATGGGTCCAAGGACAGCCGTGCTGGCTCCTTAGGCCCTGGCTGTGCCACCCTGCAGGGTGGACACAGCTGGTGTGACAGCACAGGGAGGCACAGCAGAGCTGTACCCTGAGGAAGATGAATCCAAGGCTGTCACTGGACTCCTCAGGAAGCCCCAAACTCCCAAGCCAAAGTCAAGACAGAAGAATGGAGACAGGTGGGTGTTTCTAATCCAAAGGTTCTTGTCTTTATTCAAACCAGGGGTTGGCACTGTTCTGTGCCCAACGCACGGAAACCTTTAGCCTGAGGGAAATCTACATCTCACAAGGCCTCGTGTCCCCCCGACACCCTGTGGGGTGGGAGCAGCCCCGACCCGGCGCTGCGCTCCCAAGTGAATCCGTGCGTCTGCCTGCCCCTTCCCAGCCCTGTCCCCCAGGAACAACAAAATACACTCAGTAGATTCCTGTGAGCTCCCAGAGTTTCAGCCCCCACGGCCCCAGCGCCGGGGAAGGAGGGCAGGGGGGTGGAGCTCTGCCCCCCCTGCCCCAGCGCCCACGGAACCCTGTTTAAATTAAAAAATAAGCCAGCATACATAGTAGAAAATTTCTCTTAAAAATTTCACAATCTGTAAATGCATATATTTTTGTTTTTCTTTTTTAAACATAAAAGTTTACAATATACGGTAAAACAAAAGGCTCAGGAAAAAAATAATCTCAAAAAAAAGAAACCTGAAGTTTTGAATTAAAGCTGAAGACATTTTTTTTTTAAACCCTGTAAGTTTGAACCAGTGACATTTTCTTTATTTGTGCTGATGGGTTAGAGAAAGGAAAAAATCTTTAAAAACTGCAGTCCAAACACCCACAGCGTTTGCCTCCAGAAGCCATCTGCGCCCCCACCCCCCCAAAAAATGGTTGTTAGGTTTTGCTTCCATCAAGTATGTGATTGTCACGAGTTCACAAGTCTGGGATCCCGGGGTTCAGCTGCTCCCAGTGGTCCCCTGGGCAGCACTCCCTGCCTGCCAGCCCAGGCTAGCGCCGGTAGGGATGGAATCCTTGCACGTTGTGGTTCTGTCCCCGGCCAAAGCAACTGCCACCAGCTGGGGGGCCGCTGGAGGGCTGCACCGAGGGGCCTCCATAGGGAGGGGGCTGCTGGCTGGGGTCAGAGAATCCTTGCCCAAACCCACTCAAGTCTTGTCCATACCCTGGGGAGAAGGAGAAAGACACAGTCAGTTTCCAGGGGCAGCCACAGGCGCAATTCCACCCCTCCCGCCGCGCTTGGCCATGGGAACCAACACCTTGGAGAAACAGCTGCTCCTGGTTCCACAGGATTTACCTTCTAGAGGAGCTCAAGCACACAGTGTGCAGAGATGGGATGATCCCAGTTTGGGGTGACCCCATCCAGGCTGTCAGTCCCACTGTCACTGTGGCTGCCCTGAGGTTGGAGGTGGCTCCAGGTGCTGCCAGTTCTGAGCAGTTTCATTTTGGGTTGGGTGTTGTATTGGTTAAAAGCTGTCAGGGCCAGCAGGGACAGGGATGTAGCAGGAGTTTCTCTCTGGAACCTCAACAGTGCCCCAGACTGACTGCAGTTCCCAGACTCTGGCTCTGTACACTTGCCTTTGCCAACTTTTGCAACAAAAACCTTCCTTCACTAGACACACAATCCTGAATTCCCATTCAGAACACAGTAATGCTGCCTGAATTCACTCTAATTAACAAATCCACCTCTCTTTCAAGGAATACTCAATTCCAATGTGAACTGAAACAGGAAGCAAAGCAGAACCCAGAAGTCATGACAACTGTGCCTGTTACATTTCACATAGAGCCCTCGGCCCAAAGCTGCCCCTGAAGAACCAACACCTTCCCCAAAAACTGAAGTGGATTTGTTCCAAGACAAAGCTGCATTTTCAAAACCTGCTGCTGCTGTAGATAGTTGGGAACACTTCCTGGCTAATGAGATCCATAAGGAATTCCAAATCTCTTCTGCCATGTCCCCTACACCTGCCCTGAGCATCTAAGCTTGAGAATCTCTGAGCCTGGACAGGTGCTGTCTCAACTAATGTTTAAGCTAAGACACCTGCAAGTTAATATTAATCTTGTTCCTCCCCAGTCTGAGGAACTGCACCCTTGTCCTGTCCTGCCACAGGGACTGTTCCCACTGCTCCATGGACCACAGGCTTAGAGTGAGCAGGATTTGGGGATAGGGAGAAAAGCAGGGTGAAAATGAAGGACTGGCTGCAGTCCCTGCTTCCAATATGAAACACAATTAGCTGTAAAGTGAGAACACTGAGAAATTGAGAAATTTAATTCAAACTCCCAGAATTAAATAGGACTCTTAATCCTACCAGTGGCACCAGTGCCAGTCCTGCTCTGAAGATGCCATTAAGGCTAATTACCAAGAGCATTTCTGCAGCGCTGCCTCTCTCTGTGCAGGCTTAAAGCAAGTTTAACTCTCTTAATCCCAAAGTCTCTTAGCACATCTTCAATATTTCAATTTCCAGCTCTGCCTGTCCCTCAGGACTCGTTCCCACTCCTGAGCATTCAAGACACAGCTACCACAGGCTCCTGCAGCTCAGAGGCGCCTCCTGGCACTTGTTCAGACACAGATAAGCAGCCATCAATTGTTTGCCAAGGGGTGAGGCTGGGAGTGGAAAAACACCAACCCTGAGATGTTCTCCCTGCACACTGCAGTGTTACGTGGTGCAAACCACAAGCTCGCACAGGGCTCGAGGTGCTCAGCACAAAGGAAACCACAGCACACACCTGCACAGACACTGCTCACACACTGCCTGCCCTGAGCCCTGCTGCAGCCCCTCTGCTCTCCCAGGGCTGTGCCAGCTGTGTGGTTGGACTGTGTGGCTCAGGAATCCAAGCTAGGATCACCAGGGTAAGCCTGGCCAGGCAGCAGCCTGGGAGGAACAGCAGCATCAGCCACACTCCAGCTGTGGGTGTCCACCCAGGAGCTGCGAGAGGGAAAAGCTGCTCTACCCCCACACAAACCCCAAATCTAAGTCCCGTTCCTGCCTCTCCCTCCCTTAAAACAGCCTCTGCAAGGAGCATCAGGGATTCTCCCCACTGGCTGTGAAAAGGCAGGACCTGCCCAAGTCTCCTCACAAGTCTGTCACACGAACAGCTCACTCCAACCTTGAAGGAAACTATTTACCTACAGATTTGGGGAAGAGTGGAAAGCAGGAGCTCCCCTTGCAGTGCACAAGTCTCTGGAGATTCTCTCACAGCACAAGTGACATTCTAGAGTTGACTAAGAAAATTCCCTCTGGCTAGTAAACTGCATGATTTCAGGATAGCTTGAGCTGGTGGGAGCATTCCCGCCTGGAGAAGTGCCTTCAGGATCAGTAAACTGTCTCAACACTGACTCTCTACCCAGGACTAACAGGAAAGGGCAGAAAGCTGGAGCCCAGTGGATCTGACACACAGTTACTCACCAAACTGACTATAAGGGAATTCTGGCTGAGCAGTTGGGGGTTTGCTCATGTCCTGAGTTGCCTGAGATGGTGGTGGTGGTGGAGGAAAAGCGAGTGGTGCTGGCCCTGGAGTGGCAGGTGGAGGGGGAACTCCAGGTGGGGCAAACTGGTCAGGTGGAGGAGGTGGAGCACCATAACCAAAACCTGGAACATGAGGAAAGCATAAAACACATGTGAAAAGACACAGGAAAACAAACCCCAATGTCCTGCTTGGTTTTAGAGCATGACGTAAGCTTTACAAAGCACTTCTAAGTCTATTAAAACCAAACTGGCTGTACAGTGGTTCACTCCTACATGCTGGTAACCACTACAGCTCAAAAATCACAGCAAGTTACCCGCACAGGTATGACAAATGTCACCCCAAAGGAATCCTGCAGCAACCAGCACAGAGAAAGGGATAAAGCAGAACTGGGGACCAAACTGTGCTCACGCATGTAAGAAATGAGGAGGAAGCTGTATTATCCAAGATCTTAGGAGGAAAAAGGAACTGCAGATAACAACCAGATGCTATTTTCCACTTTTTCCAAACCAGGTTTGTGCCCAGATCTTTCACAAGGTGCACTGGGGGGTAGGTGCTAGAATCCTATTTGTATGTCCAATGCCAGTTGTGCCGTTAATTACTTAAGCTCCTCCAAAAATCCCTGTCTGTCTGGCCCAGGTGACCAGCACTGAGCTCTAAGTTTTCCCTCAGATGTTGTAACAGAGGTACAAAATACATTTACATTGGTTTAGCAACACAGATTTAAACTAGAGAACATAAATGAATATTGGTTCCCAGCAAAAACATAATCCAACTCACCAGCAAGAATAATGATACAGTTAATTATAGCTCAGAATATATAATCTGGGAAAAATAATTAAGGATAGGTGAAACACAAGAGAAACATTCAAATCCAGAGACCGAGGAGGAAAAGCTGAATTTGGTGCTGGATGTACTCCAGGTCCTGCAGGTCACTTACTAAATGGTGGAGGGGTGCCATAGCCCTGTGGAAATCCTTGTGGAGGTGGGAATCCCCCAGGAGGCGTGGAGACTATGTATGAGGTAAATGGTGGTGGGGGAGGAGGAGCTCCTCTGCCTGGAGGAGGGGGTCCATATCCACCTGGAAAAGTAAGAGAGACCAAGAAGCTGGAGCAGGTAATCCCAAGGAGCTGCTGCTGGATTCAGCTTCCTCTAGATGGGGCAAGGCTCTGGAATGATTACACACACAGGCTCAGCCTTCTCTGAATCCTCCCTTTGGGAAGTATTTGTCCTCCAAGTATCTCCACTGTAAACAACTGCAGTTTAGCACGTAATCCCCTGATAACAAATTAATATGGCTGAACAGCAAGATGTGTGTCAGCTCCCATTACTGAGCTGCTAAGAATCCACTGTCTTCCCCTTCCTTCTTTCAGGACAAATTCACTCAAGCCATTAAATGTAGGTTAAATCCCACAGAAATCCCCAAATCCCTGTGAGTGCTGAAAGAAGCTGTGCCCGTGCTCAGGGGGAGCTTTGCTTTCAGAATTGGTCCCATATAATGTACTTACCAATTGCCTGTCCAGCTGGCACCCACATCCCTGCAACAGAGCAAAGACAGAGCCTCAGACATCCCTGGAGCTGCACACCACAGAGCAGGGAGGATGCAGGAGGAGGGATCTGGCTCTGGGACAGACTGGGTATCTTCCCAGTGTCCCTTACACATCTATTTTTACAGTCCAAGCAATATTCTGTGGCTATTTCTGAATGCGCAGTTCTGGAGAGACACTGAATCATTCAGCAAACGTTGCTCAGAAGAGACAGCAGTTCCCAAACCCAAATCACATGGAGCATTTGAGAGCTGCCACATACCAAGAGCAGGAAGCTGTAGTACTACAGAGACCAAACCCCTGGAGAATCCCAGCAGACACATCCAAAAGCATGTTTAATTCACTACCAGGTTTATTCCAGTTGTTTTGGAACTACACAAACACCTTCCCTACCCGCTGCAGAGCAAAGATTGAAAGATAAATATGTTTGTCCCTGACATTAATCTTTCCGGGAGATCAGAGATCATTTTCCCTACTAATCACATGGAAAATCAAAGTTTCTCTAGTTGCAGATTTGCACAACCCTCAGTTGCAGCTTGAGTCAATCAGCAAGCACTGTGGGGACACAGCAATCCTTGTGCAATCCCCGTGGGAGGTCACATCCATCAGGGCAGGGATGGAGCAGCCACGCTCCCTCCAGCCCCCAGGTGCAAGAGCTGCTCTGTCACAGCAACTGAATTATCCCGCTGGATTTCTCCAGAAGTTATCAGAATTGTCTCTGGATGAACTCAGCACACTTCTCCTGCCCTCAGACTATTGGGGGACTGCAGCCATCAAACCCAAACCTGTGGCTGCTCCTCCACCCCAGAGGGTTCCAGCAGAACAAGGATGTGCAGGAGGAGCTCCGTGCACCCCTGCCAGCCCCAGAGCTGCCTAGGAACTTGCCAGGCTACACTAAGCAATGAAATCCCAAGACAAGACCAGCTGGTTTATCCCTCAGCCCTTCAAATCTCACTTATAACTCCCTTTGAAACTGCCTGACCCTTGAAAACCAACATTTAACCCAATTTGCCACTGGGGTTTCACAGAGTCCTCACTCCCACAGCTGGAGTCACACCTGGAGCCTGTCCAACACCTCTGTGTCTCCCCAAACCATGGGGATTCCATGTGGAGAGAGGCAGATCCAAATGGAACACACCTAGGGCAGATACCAGACCCAGCACAAGCCACTGCTTCCCTATGCAACAGACTTTTGGGAAAGGCAGTGAAGGAATCACCTCAGCAGCCTCGGGAAGGGCTGATGTGTGGAATTCTAGTCCTATCAATAATCCAGCAGGGAAATCCACCGGAGAATGCCACCACTTGCCAGAAAGCCAAAGGCCAGGCCCTGTGGCAGGGGGGCAGTACCTTGTGGGCCGTATCCCTGCTGCCAGGTCGGAGGGGGCTGTCCTGCCCAGCCGTTGGCAGCACTTGGCATGATCCTGCTTCCCCACTGGCTGGCTCCTGGTGGCCCTGGCGTCTGGCTCTTGCTGTCCCGAGGCTCAGCACGTTTCACCTCCACCTAAACAAACAGAGGCAGCACTCAGGAGAGGAGGGAGGTCTTGCACCCCTTCCCCTCACACACACCCGCAGTTACACTTAAGACTACACTTAGCATCTTATGACTTATGTCTAAAGACTTAATCATTAACTTAAGGCCAGTAATTTACAATGTTTCTCAGGTACAGTGTAGGTGATGGTAAGGCATTACAAGTCCTACTGTCGAGGGATTCCGAGTAAAACATCCTACAGATCACTTCAGTGGTCTTTGTTTAACCTTAAAACAGCAGTACCCTCTTACAGCAGCTCTGCACTGGGCAAAGCAGCATCTGGTCCACTTGTGACTGGTTGGGTGGTCAAGGCAGGAGGTAAAGGTGATGTTTTCAGGTAAAAAAAAATCACAATTTGTGTGAAGAGGCTGCTCTGAAAAAGGGTACTAATGCTTTAACCAACACATTTGGGGTCTTTTGGAAGTAACAGTTTATCCCACACCAGCTAACTGCAATTTCAGCTCTGTTCATACCTGAGAAACACACTTTTTGGTTGTGGTTTTTGTGGTGGTTTTTTTGTGTTGATTTTTTTTTTAAAAAAACTTAAGATTGTATTAAAATGTCTAATGGAAGATAAAGACTTACCTTCCCCAGGCTAACGCTTAAAGAATCTCAATTAACTCAAACAATGTCAGAGGGAATGGATGTGATAAGAGAATCTTACATTACATCTAACAAAAAAAGTAAACAAACATGCAAGTAATAAAAATGGACAGTTGAGTCAATAAGAAGCAAATCTTCATACTGTGTTAAGTCAGTGACAAAACCTCTCCTGTTTTAAATATTAGTAAGCCACACTTATTTCATTCCAAGATAAAATGTCTCAGTGTTCCCAGCCATGGAATAAGTGCATTTGACCTACTTAAAATAAGCTGCACATTCAACATAAACCTCTCAAAAAAAAAAAAACCAGTTGTGATTTAAACCCTCTCAGCTCCAGCCCAGGCTGGTTTTTATGCCGTGATTAATTTTAATGGGTGCCAGAGTACAAAGGAAATAAATCTCACTCATCAATGGGCCTGAGTAGTATGGAAAAGAAAGGATTCAGAATTCCTCCTGCCATGTCTTAAAAGCCACTCATGTGGGAGAACAAACAGGAAACAGGCAAGAGGCAAGGACAAAGCCCCTCTGCCCCCCCCCTCACCCATGCCCCAAGGACACGAGACATGACAGTAACCAAACCTCTGTCAGCTCAAGGCCCTTCCAGAGAGGGACCAGGGGAATTTTTCAAAGGACTCAAATTAATGAGTCTTAACACATTTGCCTTGGGGGAATTCAGTTATTGCTTACAAAAGCAGAGTCCTTCTTGCAATTTTAATTTCTCCCCCTTTCAACAACATATGGATTCGTTTCTGCAATACCTTCTTAATTACCAAAAAGCCTGAGATACCATTTTTAAAGCAGGCATGATTAGGCAGTGGAGGGAAGCAGGGAGCTGGAGCTCATTAATCCTCCTGGAAGAAACCCATTAATTTTTCAGGGCACATTTGGAACTGCCGAAGTGAGGAGTGAAAATTCCCTGTGCACTAGGGAGGTTTTGGATTCCACACCTGCTTAAAGCCCAGGTTACCTCAAGAAACGAGGCAGCTCCATTGCCCTGAGATGAAAATCCCTGAATTCTGCTCTTCATGTCATTGGAAGAGGAAAAAGGGGCAAAAACAGAGTATTTCAGTTTGGAATTGGGTTGGTTTGGGAAGCATTGAGAACTCACTGATGTGTTCCATACAGGAGGCCCACACCGGGCTCTCCACCCTCTCCCAGAACCCTCACGGATGTGTATCCTTTGTTTCCATTCTATCAGCTCCTGTTTCAGTGGCTCATTGAAGGCAATTCCAAGGACAGATCAGGGAATGTTTGTAGGATACAGGTAAGTCATACACATACCAATGGGAATTCACTGTTCACACCTGGGAGTACACAACTGCTCACAGGAGGCAAATTCCATGAGCTAAAGACATGCCCTGATGTTCTGGATCAAACAAGTACATTCCTTTGTATCCATGACCAGGAAATCCCCCACCCTTGAACCCCAAAGCAAGTTCACAGGAATTAAAGGCATCATACACTGCATAGCTGACCAAACCTCCACTGCACTGCAGGATGTGCCCCTGCTGGATAGGGAAAAACTTGTGATGTATCAGCATATGGAAAAGGCTTTAAAAGACAATTAAAAAAAAAAAAATCATACAGTGCGATAATTTCAGGAATCTTCTGTGTCCCCTTGAATCTCCTCAGCTAAGTTTAGCAGTTTTAACACTTACTTTCAAATTAGATCTACTTCAAGGGCTTAAATTTACGAGAATTCCTGTGGTTCACTTTCTTCTTTCCTCTCTAAACTTGGGTGTCCTGCAACAATGTACTTGGCTTTTAGGTTTGGGTTTTTTTCCACAGGTAGAAGCATGTTCCTTGCTGAGTAACATCAAAGGAGCCTACAAAATTCCTCCCTATCCCAGAGCCGTTTTCTGACAACACAGTATGAAGATGAAACAACCAGAGGTCACTTAACTGCATTGTGGTTAAATACTATATAGAGTACGTGGGTTGGTATCAAAGTTCCACAGTAAGTGACCCAATTTTTTAAAAAACCAATCCTTCAGGATGTTTTTGTGTTCCTTTTTCTTTTGCAGTTTCAGATTAGGCAAAGGAGATTGTCTCACACCACCTTAAAATTGGAGTATCGAGTACACATCTGAAGGAGTGGTAACTTAAACCAAGCCCTGAACAACTGGGATTTCACTGGGATTCGGATTTAAACAGCTGGAAATCGGCTATTTCTCTCCTTGCCCCACAGCGGTGCTCAAACCAAGGCACTGAGCACCAATGTGAGCTCTGCTCAGCCACAGCAACCCCCAGGTCTGTGCACACAAGGCCTCACCCACTCCATAGGAACCCACAGCCTAAATTCTCAGGCTCCCATGACCTTCCTCCCTCCCTCGGGCTAATTCTCATCTCACCTGTGTCAGCAAACTCAGGCCTTGCCCACCTCCATGGACAAAGCCTTTAATTTGGACCTCAGAGCTCTCCCACCTGTGATTAGGTTTTCTGCCCAGTGAAATTTCTCGTTGCCCAAGACTTGGTTCTGTCTTAAGGTAAAATAAAACTACAACTACACACTTTTTTGCCCATGATGTCGTGAAAATGCATGTTGACAGCCTGGTCCACTGATTGTTCGTCCTCGAAAGTAATAAATCCAAAACCTAGCCAACGACGAAGAGTGAATCAAGGTAGCAGGGTGTTGTGACACAAAACAGGATGATGAACAGTATTAGGGGTGGACCAAGGGTTCAAGCAGGGGTTTCAGATAACGACACTTGTGTTCAATTGGCAAAACCTCGGAGCAAATTGCAATGGATACTTCCTGTGAGGAGGCAGCCAGGGCCTCGTCTGGGCTCGCATGCAATCCCAACTGAGCTCCTTAACTGCTCTTAATTTGATTTAATTCCTCATCCACCTACCAGGAAATGGAAAAAAAATGCGCTAAAACCAAAATACCTGTGGGACAGCAGGTTAAAAGTCAAGCAACTTTGCTGCTCCTCTCTGATCCAGCCTAGTTTCCCGAGGAGAACCTACGGTATCCCTGTTCCCCAAAGCTGCAAAGCAACTTCCTCCCTTCCCTCAGCCCAGCTGCCAGCTAGGGAATATTTTCCGTGGAAAATAAGAAAGTTGGTTTTGAAATGTAGCTGTTAAAGCATGAATAATTTTACCACTCCATGGATGAATGAGAAGCTGCAGAAACTAACAACCTAGATCAGAGGTTCTCGAGTTTTCCACACCTTGGACAAAGCACAGGACAGGTGTTACTCCCTTTCCTGCAGAGCTGTTGGTGCAGAACATGGTGGTGCTGCCACATCCCTTCAGCTGTTTTATTTCTTGTACTTCCTGCTGTTTTTTCTCTTGAAAATCTCCTTTTCAGCCCTTCTTTTTTCTTTTTAGCCCAAACCATCGCTATGAACTGCCCCAGCTCCCCACGGGCGGCTCATCCCCTTTCCCCTGACCACAGCCCTTGCTGGGGGCAGCTCAGCTGGATCCAGCAGCTGGAGAAGACTCTGGCAAGGAGGACAAGCCCCAGGCAGGGCTGATCCCTTTCTGAGGTCACTCAGAGAACCACTGCATGTAGGTTGTAGCTGCTGGTACAGCCGAGAGAGTGGCAAAATCGTGGTTAATCCCCCAGGCCACGGCGGCTGCTTCATGCCAGCACCCAGTGCCGTGGGCCAGCCCAGCCCAGGACAAGGAGGGACACATGCAGAACAGGAGCTGTGCCATTCTTTGGATTAGCTATGGGGAGAGCAGTCAGAATTAGAGAGGAAACTGGAGGTGCAGCGTCGGAAGCGCATGGAACATGGATGCGGTTCTGCTTTTCTGAAACCCAAGATTTCCCCCTTGGTTTGCGTTTTGCTTTGCAGCTAGTGCTGACAGCAGCCAAATCTTGCTCTAAAGCGTTACAGAATACAGGATCTAGCACAAGAAAAGTCTCTCCACGCTTATCCAACTGCGTTGGGTAAGCCCAAAGAGGCCTAGTGTAGAGAAAGTTTATATATATATATATATATAAAATACA